GGTGCAAGGGGGGGTTAGCGGGTGGAGCGGTGCCACCCCGCGAGCCTGAGCGCCCCCTGCGCCCGTCGCGGGATCGATACGTCATTTGAGCTGGTCGCCATGGAGACCGCGAACGGAGCGGGGCGGCGCCGCGGCTTCAGGATGGTGGGTACTGCACGGGACTCCAAGGAACCCGCGGCTCCTAAAAAATCTTAATCATGTGTTATACTACTTAATTGTATACTGTTTTATTTCTATGTAATTAACATGATACAAATGTATAATTTATCTTCGCTATATTTGTAACTTTTAATTACTAAAAATTATATTTAATACCAAACTTTTGTTTTGACAATCATTTGTTTTTTAACGCCCTTTTAAATGTTTTTGGATATGAAACCCTTTTTGCCAGATGATAGTGAAGCCACTTTCAGACTTAATATTATGTATGTTTAGCCTTTAATTAACTGAACTAGGTAACATATGTTGCAACATTTCTTAGAAAATAATTACACTCAAAATATTTTTAATTAGATGTTCACTAATTAAAATATTTTAAACAGATAATTACTAATTTTAACCTTAAAAGCGAGTGTATTGCAATAATATATATATTACATATGTATTTCCTTTTGAAAATGCGGTTGTAAAGTTGGCTTTTGTTTATTACTACATAGTTGATTTTTAATTGTAGTATATCTATAAATTAAACTATGATAATCCTTTTCGAAGTACTTAGTAACGTTCCATCCATTTTCCCATTTTATACACGTAGATTAACAACAGTTATAAATTCATTATATGAACTACTGTAATCAGTTACTAGAGGAAATAAAATGTAAAATCCATACCTATCGAAATCGCAGAATGTACCGTATTAGGTTTAATTAAATGTGAATTACTATGATGTTAGAGCCAATCGAATAATAAATTGTAATAAGTCGAAAACTCTACAAAAGTATGCCGAGTTATTATCGTAGCTACAATACAACCAACAAATACACAAACTTTCAAATACGTGTATTTGCTTATAAAACAAGAAAGTTAGCGAACAATATAAAAGTAATGGGATAGAACGAGACCGACGAAGTAGATTTTCATTAGAGTGAGTAAGAAGGACTTATTCAAATTGAGGGTACATATTTGTACATAGGTAACAAATAGCTAGGTGAGAAAAAGTGGATATGCCATCTTATAATTTAATGGTACAAATTAAAAAAAAAATTTATTAAAAATACTTCGTGTGTACAAGACAAAAATAATTTAATTTACTATTAAGATTTACGATTATAACAGTACAAACAAATTAGATTTTCGTAAAAATAGTAAATAGTTTTTTAATTACAAATATACTGCTTCTTATGCAATCACGACATACATTATTGTGGCTTTCTGTGACTATTTAACTATCAAATAAATGATAAACACATTCTTTAAAAATCATTCTCTCATTCATACATAGTGTACAGGTATTCCCATGTTATGAATATTGGTTAAAAAATAAAAAAAGTTCCATTTGAAGAGAGTTGAAGGAGCAACTTCAAGAACAGGTATTTACTCTGTTAGAATATTATTATGAAAGCTTTAACTAGAATTATATCATATTCGTATAATATTTATAAATATATGTACGTTGCATATTAATAATTGATTTGAAGGAACAGGATAACAACGTAACGAAAAAAGATAATAATAAAATGATAAAAAAAATATGTGTGCTACTGTTATTGTAATTTCATTTTATGTTTAATTAAGTAATTTATAAATGAGATTGAAAGGTATGTATCAGTACGATAACTTTTACAATGTTTACTAACGCCATCTAGGTGTGTTAACTTGAACTTTTGCTTAAATACTCTGTCGCACCATACTATGTCAATTTGATTCACAGCGATTTTAAAGTTATATTTAGTTTCGTAAACTACCGCTAGGTGTTAGCAGGTTCTAAATATTTTTTTTGTCACATCGAGTTTATCTATACTATTAATCAGTGACGTTGCTATAGTAGTATAGGGCCAGGTGGTGCAGTGCACCAGGGCCCCAGAACTTAGGGGCCCTCTAACCTTATCTTTGAGGAGATACAAGGGTTTTTAACGTTCTTGTTGCTATTTACAATTTTAGAGGTTCATGGTTCAAGGGGATGAGCACCCGAATCTTTCTTGAGCCTTAAGATTAGGTAGACCGGTGCCCTCCACCTAGCTACGATATTGCTTCGACTATTATCTTTATATAAATGTTAAGCGCTGTTTAACATGTTTGAATAAGAACGCACGACTGCAAACGTTTGACAGAATTGTGACTACAGATATAGTAAGTGGCAAAATAGATTTATTAATTTAAATTTTCGCAATTATTCAACAAGTTCTCGCCATTTAAAGCTTGTCGGAAGTACGACAATTTTCTAACTTTTAAATTGTTTTATATCTTATTATATTATCACCATTATGTAAGGTACCAATAAAAATATTGTACATTGGAAAATGTATTGACGGAACTAAAGAATCCTACCTTCTTATTATCTAAATGAAAAACTCTAACTAGACGATATTATGTCAAACGTTGTTTTGTTGCAAGTTTAATGTATTACATTGGTGCAACTTGACAAAATAATTCTACCACATAACACTACCAAACTTAATTACCATAAAAACGGTCCTTGCGAGTTATTCGTTAAATGAAAAAATGAATTGTCTATATTTATAGACAATTTATTTTTTCATAAATATGTTATGGTTTCTTGAAACGTTTTCGCAGCGAACGCAACTGAAGCACTCAAAGAACACCATGATTTTTACCAATTTCCACATTTTCCACTTTTGCTTCGCTCCTTTTAGTCGCATTGAATGTTATATAACCTAATATAAATAATAAAGCATTCCGCGGTATGATTATCAAAATTTTAACAACATTTGAACCAATAGTTCGTGAGATCGCGTTTAAACAAATGAACGAACTCCTCAGTGTTAGAATATAATTATAGATTCCGTCTAGTCGATTTTTGTTAGCCTATATTATAGATAGGTTTTAGACTCTACATGTGGCAGAAAAATTCTGACGTCATTAAAATAAGGTCTTCACTGTGGTAACCATTACCACAGTGAAGATTTAGTGGAAAAATCTTACCGTTACATTTTCCATTTTCGTTTTTTTTTTAACTAAAAGGTTTGCTGAAGGACAATAAGTATGTCCTTCAGATCGATCCTTCAGAGATTGACTGTCTCATATTAGAGACAAATCAATCTCTCAACCTTACTATTTAAAGTCGAAGATTGACAAGAAGTAACTATTTAATTACTGTTGGTCTCGATCTTAATTAATATTGCAAGTATTTTTTTCATTTAAGACAAGAAAACTTATAATAGTAAACCATAATAGAAGCATGGAAAGGAAATACATTGTTAGGGCATACATAATTGACTTTGTTTCCACTTGCTTGAGAATAACTCGGACAGTGTATTTTGAATTTCAGTTACTTTGCTCAAATTATTGCGTAAGTCGTAATATTATATTACATCTGATTCAAAGGAGAAAACATAGAGATACTTTTTTATATTTATACAGCACCATTTCCTGCTTCTTTGTAAGTTATTTTCACCAGAGACATTATTGATATGTAAAAAATAAAAAAAAGACATGATTTTGTTGTTTTTTATTTAAAACTCATTTTGCACATATTATAAAAATCGCTAAATTCTAGCTTTAATAATATGTTCGGTAAATCGTGATGAATCCCAAAAATTATACATATTTAATTGACATGAGATATCCTGTTGTTTCCAGTAAATCGGTCAAATTTTTAAACGTAACCACATCATTTAAACAAATATGACGTATGACTATTGCTATAACTTTAAATAAATAAGATATAATAATATAACTACAACCTGAGTGCACAGAAATAGATGTGTACGAATTAATGTAACCACTTGAACATTAATAACGCTACTTAGCAGTTACAACAGCCGGCTGACTTTCGTACCGATCTAAGTCTGATGGATTATTTAAAAGTCTACTTACCAGCACTTTCGTATCAAAATCTAAGACATTACAAAACGATATTGTATAAATTAGAAGTGCCGTCTGAAATGAGTTGGCCACTTTCACTTAACAAGTGCTAGTAAAAACTGGAGCTTTCACGAATTAAAGAAAACAAGGGAATAAATAAAGTCGCTTTCTGTAAATCGTGAAAGAGCGAAAAGTGTGGACCGAGGCTGCGAAAGAGCACGCATCGATCGATACTTTTCAATGAACGCGCTCCGGTACTTCTATGTTAAAATAATCACTGGTCTTAAACATGGCTTAAGTACTATACACCTAACATAATATTATATAAATTATTACAAATTAAGGCATTTACAACATCAGAATTCCTTAAATATAACATATATAAGCTTCACGTTTACACGACACTAGTTCGATTGTAGCATCGTGTAAAAACAAAGTATTGACTAATGTGATATCGGTAAAACAATTTTGTTTACGATCAAAAATGGTCAAGATTTCGGCGATCTACTGACCCAAGAAGCTTTTATACAAAATCTTAAAATGGATCTAAAAATTACGAATACCTCTACAATGCAGCTCACAAAATCTTTTATAGATGTAAGTCAACGGTACAGACAGCTTCTTTTTGGTTTGTACGTTTTAGGTCAGTTTTATCAGTAGACAATATTAAATTTAGACATAAAAAAATGGCATAGTCTTTAAAAACTAGCACTCGTTTGGCACTAAGTCTTGTATTAAAGAAAAATATATACTCACAAAACTTTAGAGACTCGAAAAGATTGAGTACGGTATTTATTTCACTAATCACAGTCACCGTATTGTGTGTGCCACTCTAATTGAAAATAATTATAGATATGAATTACTAAATATATGACACAAAATCTAAAACTACTCCATCGCGAAATTTGAGCATTATTCTTGTGCATCAAAGAATTTTATTACGAAATAGTATTTAATATCACATAGATATACTAATCTCTGTGATCACTCGTGCAATTTTTTCCAAGTTAAGATTTTCACCTCCTTCGTCGAGCGGATACTGCAGCGGCTATCATTTGTCTCAGCATTGGTTCCGGAGTGCATGCTTTTGGATCACATTTCATTTGGCCATCACCACCGCATCTGAAAGAAGATTATAAGATTGTGTTTATTTATCAGTTTTGAACAGATTTAATATTTTATCAATACTTATCAAAATTTTCATATTTTTGTATAATCGGAAATTCCGTAGTGGAATTTGCATAAGTACATAAAGGGTATACTCACGTGCAGTGTAAGCAGGGCCCTGATGATGCTCGCACCACTTCTCCGACCTTATACGTATGTCCCTTAATATGACATCCTCTTCTTTGTGCGGCGCCTTTATACGCGTGGGGTAGGAAATGTGGGGGTAGAGTTGTCGTCGTGGTTGTGGTTGTTGTCGTAACGTTGAGAGTAGTTGCCATGGAAACTGGACATTCGTAGCGGGGGCAGCAGAAACCTTGGATTGGTTCTTCATGGCATCCATGAATAGGTGGAGGGCAACTTTGTTGCAAGCAAATGATATCGCTTCTAAAGCAGAAACAAAAGTCACACGGGTCATCTCTGGGTATTTGCTGAGCCGAAACGTAGACCTTGCCACCATAGCGACATGTACCAGGGCCAAACGCCTGATCTTCATCTCCATAATCTGGTTCTTGGCCGTACCCACTAGAACCACTGGATGGGAATTCTGGCGACGACACTTCTTCAGTTGGCAGGAAGTCGGGTTTCGTGGTTATTGATTTAACCGTGGTAGTTTCCGACGGCTTTTCCTCTGCTTCTGAAGTTTTTATTGTTGTAGCTGGTTCTTCGTAAAGCATTTGAGGTGTTGTCTTTCTTTCTTCGTCGGGTACCATTGTTTGGGGAGTAATTGCTTGTTGTTGTTCATCTTCGCTTGGAATACGAGGTTTTTCTGTCGGCTCTGTTACTTCTTTCTCAATGAAAGATGGTTTTTCCGTTTCCACAGCAGTTGTTATACTTTCTTCATTTTGCATTAAATGAGAGGAAGATGCCATTGTTGTTTCCGTGCTCTCATCTGATGGTTTCGATTCTTCTACTGCTTCCGTTATCGTCTGTTCAGTTGGAATACTTTCTGAAGGCATATTTGCTGATAAAGTCGTTTGATATATTTCATGACTTGTTTCTTGATCTTTGGTTGTAACTGGAGAACTATCAGCAATTTCAGTGACTTCAATTGATTTTTCAGTTGAGGTATCTCCGCTATCATCTTCTGTATGAGTCAAGACATCATGCTCAGTCGTTTGCGGCGTATAGTCGCTGTAGAAACAGCTACAGGAGCCGTAGTAGTTTCTTGTATTATTTGATGTGTATGTTCCTCTAGTTCGACAATATAGGGCGTTGTTTCAGAGTGCTCGTATTTACTTTCGGTTACTGTTTCAGGTTCAACCGTTTTCACATCAGATACAATTTCTGTGGTAGTTATAACTGCATCTTTTTGAGACGAAACGTCAATGTCTTGGGCAATATCGCCCACATTTATATTTTCATCAGTCAATTTTGTAACGGTATCTTGGGGCTCTTCAGTTGGCGCATCTTCTGAAGGCAAAGGAGACTGAGTAATAACTTGTGATTGTGATATATCTGATGTTACAGGAATAACAGATAATTCGTCCGTGTTTGTTTCTGTTTTATCCGTTTGTGTTTCGGTAGGAAGAGTTGGAGGTAAAATAAGTTTAGTAATGTCCGTTTCTGGTGTTTGTTTTTCAATACTCTCCGTATAAGTAACTAAAGGCTCCTCTGTTGTTTTAGAAACAATTTGTTGTGCGTTTGTTGAGTCTATTCCCGATGAGGTAGTAGTTTCGACAAACATTGGAACTTCTGTTACTAAAGAACTCTCTTTGTCGATATATTTTTTATCGATTTCGGTTGATTTTTCAGGTGACTTAGTTATTTCAAATGATTTTTCAGTAGTTATTGATGATTGCGTTTCGGTTACCGGATCAATTTCCTTGTTAACCTCACCTGTGCCTTCATCCGTTATTAACGATTCTGGTTGTTCTGTTGTTTTTTGCATTACTAAAGGATGCTCCGTAACCTCAGTAACCTTTTCATCTTCAGGTTCCAAAGTTGTTATATGTTCTGTAGTTATGTGGTTACTGTCGACAGAAATTGAAGATTCGGTAGTATCAATTTCCTTTTCCGTCAAAGGTTCTACATTAATTTCCTTTGTAATATCATCATGAGGAGGCTGACTTGTAGGGTAAATTTTTTCCATATCTGAAAGAGTGGTAACTTCTGAAAACTCTTCTTTACTAGGCACTTCAGTTAACGGAGTTTCTGAATATGTTTGTTGAATGGACTTAGATGTAGTGTATTCTTTATCAGAGGCTGTGGTTTCATGAGGTATATCCGTTATTCTCGGATGTTGCAGTTCTGCGTCAGATGAAGTCGCATCGAAAATGTCCCCTCTTTCTGTTGTTAGCGATTCCTTACTCGATGTTGTCTTTTCTTCATCCATTTCATCTTGAATTTGAAGTTTGTTCTCAGCTTCTGTAGTTCTTTCAGATTCCATTAACTCTGTTACTTTCATTGTTTGTATACTTTCTGTAACCGCTTCAGTTGTAAGTATGATTTGTTTTTCAGTATTTGGTGACGTAGGTTGTTCAGTTATCTTATCTTTATTTTCAAAGCTACTTGATGTCATTTTAATTTCTGATTCTGTAACTTCTGATACTCCATCTGCGGATGTTGAAGAAGTAGATTCTGTTTGAACATTGAAATCAATTAGGTCAGACTGGGTAGTACTTTCAAATGAAGTCTCATCTATTGGATGTGTCTGTGATTTTGTACTATCGTTTTCATAAATGTTGGGTGTTGTAGCGTGTACCACGTCTTCAACAATAGTCTTGTCTGATGTTAGCATAGTGACATCGATTTGAGGTGATTCAGTAATTTCATTCTCCTTGACTACTAAACTTGTGCTTTCTTCTTCAGGTAATAAACTAACAGACGAGGTGCTGGAGAGATTCTCATCAAAGAGTTTATCCGGAGCATGAGTGCCAAATTCTGTGGAATCGTAAGGTTCAGTTTTATCTGTGGTAGAAAGGCCTAGATTTTGTTCCTTTGAAGAGTCTGTTTCTTTATCATTTCCTTTATATATATTTGGTTCTTCAGTTGCGGGATATTTACTTGTTTGTACCATAACACTATCGTCGGTTGTTAATTCTTTTATGGAATCCGATATACCTTCAGAAACGCTAGGAATATTAGTGGTCAAATATTTTGAAGAGTCATCATATTTTACATCTACTGATGTTAGTTTATCTTCTGTATACGTTGGTGTGGTGATATGGGATTCAAAGTCTTCGTGGGGCTTTGTTGTTATTTTTAATTCATCAGTTGTTTCATACGCAGGCGTTTCTTTTTGATCTTCCTCAATATTTTTAATAGACGATTCGGTAGTTCTATCTGAATCAAATAAGTCAGATGATGTTTTAGTTACTTCCGAATACTTAGTAGATGCTTCTTCTTCAATAAGGGGTGACAGTGTACTAACTATTTCGGTTGCCTTTTCTACTTCATTCTTTTTAGTAATATGCTCGTCTGTCATGGGAGCGTTAGTTGAGTATTGAGCGTCAGACAAATTATCAATATTTTGCATAGTACTGTATTCAATAGAATCGGTGGTTAAACGATTAGGACTGTCAGTGTGTACTTCTATAATATTAGTAATTGGTTTTTGATCTACTTTATTTTCCACCGCTGCTGTAGTTGTTTCATATAACGCAGAAGACTCGTGATGATCATGAATACTCTCTGTTGTTGGATTTATTGATTCTATTTCAGTTTGAGCTGTCGGTGAATCTGTATCAGTTGGTTTCTCGGTATGATATATTTCAATATCGTTATCATTTGTATTAGACGGTGTTGTTTCACTCGAAAGATCAAATTGATCTTCGTGAATTTTAGATGACTCTTCTAAAGCAACGGTAGCATATTGTTGTGTTGTGGCCTGTTCAGATATTTCATTGTCTTTTACTGTACTTGCAGCAAATTGTGTATGAGTATTATCATATTCTTCAGTTGGAGATGTTCTAGTTGAGTCATCTTTGTCCTGAGAGACAGTTACAATATCATCAGAAGACAACGTTGAATCAGATAAAGGTGTTACTTCCTTATGGTCAACAGAAGGATATTCTGATGTAACTTCTGGAAGTACAGTCACTTTTCCTAAAGGCTCTACTGTAAGATCCTCATATGCCATTTCTCTTGTTGATACAGTTTCAGACTCTGGAATTTCGGAAGATGTTATTAATTGTGGCGCATGTGTGGCACTTTCTGCTGATATTGTTGTCTCCTCTGTTGGTATAGTAATCTGTATTGATGGGATCTTATCATCTATTTGATTATCCTGAGATAATAAGTTATTTTCAATAGTAGTTGCTTCAGTAGCGTCAACCTCATTTGGCACTGTTGTTTTAGGTACATCTATGATTGATGTTGGTTTAGGTTCTGATAAAGTTTTATCAGAAACTGGTACGATACTAACGTCGTATTCGACATCATGTACTGTTGTCGATTCAGCCAATGGTTCTTCGGTCGATGGTTCTATGTCTTGTACAGGAGTTAATTCTTGAGCAGGTGGTAATGTTATTTCTTCAATATATTCTGTAGATCGCTCTATATCTTTAAGATCATTAAATGTGTCAAGTTTTACTGTAGTTACCGGAATGGACGATTGTGTACTAACGTCTTCTTGGTGTGTTACGAAGTCTTCAGATGATTCATTTACAGTGTCTACAGATGTTGATTCCAGTGGCGTATTTTCAACAATAGCAGATTCTGTTGTACGTGATGGTTCCGGATAATGATTTTCGTGATGTTCTTTATCAAGATTTGTTTCTGTTATGTCTAACAAAGGTTTGGTTACGTCTTCAGGCTTAGTTGTACTTTCGTGTCCTGTAGTATCCTGATGTTCAGGAACCATTTCTCCTTGTGCACAATCCACCCCTGAACATTGGACTTCTACTTCAGCTCCAGAATATTCTTTTCGTCTACAACTGTCATCTTTACATGAGATATCCTGATCTTTGTCAGTTTCTTTGTCCTTAATATTATTTTCCAATGTGTCTGATTCTATTTTGCAGTCTTCACCTTCACAAGGCTTGATCGGTGCTGCTTGGCAGCCTTCATTATTACAAAGTGCCGTATCCGTTTCAGACTTTTCAGGTATGTGACTATGTTGATCTAATTTATCGCAGTTATCACTTTTGCATGATGTATTTACTGGTTCTTGGCAACCACTTTCTTTGTCACATATTTGAGTGTCTGAAACAGGGTATTTGTTAATGTTGCATTTGCCGTCTAAGCATTCCTTTACGTCATTTTCCGTTGGTATAGGACTTTCTTTGTCTAAGCATCCACTCTCACCACAGTTATTTTCAACAGGCTTTTCTTTTACAGCACCTTCTTTTTGTGCGTCACAGTCATCACCTGAACATTCGATGATTGGTTTTGGAGTCTCTGTTCCTGACATTTGACTATGTGATTCAGGTGCAATAGTTTCTTTTGTACTACATATATACGTTGGACAGCATGAATCTGGTGTATCATACACAGGTTGGCAATCATTCATATTTTCCATATACTCCAAAGGTGGCGTACATATTATGGGATCACATTTAATAATGCTACTAATGCACTTACATCTTGATTGGCATTTGTTTGTACTTGGAACAAAAGTATTGTTTTTGTACGTTATACCTTCGAGAAGGCAATCTCCTTCACCAGGTATTCTTGCAGGCAAAGTTTCTTCTAAGATTTCATTCTCCTGTATATTTAAAGTAGTTGTTTCTTGTCCAATAATCGTAGTGTGAGGTGTAGTATATTCGTATGAAGGTGTGGCTTTTGTTGTTAATTTGTCAGTAGTATGCTCAAGGATAGATTCTTCTTGTAATTTGACAGTTGTTACTCTTTCCTCAAAACTATCGTCAATTTTCTGCGTATTCTCAGGTAAATTAGTAGCCATGATAAATTCTTCGTCTGTAGGAGTCATATTATCTAAATAAGTTATATCACCACTCGATTTTGTAGTTATTTCTTGTCCAAGATCTCGCACAGTTGAATCATCATCTCCCAGTCTGGACGTAGTTGATTCAGTAGCTGTGTTAGAGATGTCAGATTTCTGTGTTGAATCTATGTCGCTGATAGAAGAATATTCGATAGATTCAGTCGGTAACGAAGTTGTTACGTCATAATGTTTCTCTTTATCAATAAATTCTGTTTCGCTTTCGGAAACTGTTGGATTCAAGGAAGAGGGTGATGACGCTGTTGTAACTGCAATTTCCTCATCCTTAATTAGATCATTTTGAGCTGTTGTCAAGTCTGGTACATTGCTTGTATCCATTTCTGGACTGTGAGAATATTGTTCATCATTTGTTACTGTTGAAATATCCCTTACAGAATCACTGCTGCTGGTGGTAGTAAATAAGTTCTCTTCACCGCTGCCTTCTATTTCCGCGTCTCCTATTGATGGAATTTCTGTGTATGCTTCATCCGGCTCATTTCTATAGCCACTTCCTTCTACTCTTCTAGGTGGTGATAAGGTAGTAATATCTTCGTATAGTTCTGTTGACGCTGCTTCATCTCCTTCGCAAATATATGTATCTGGACAGCATTGTCCCTGTTTGGGTGGTAAAGAAGTGCAATTCTTTCCTTCGTTTTCCATCGGTGCGCCACATTCTTGAACTATACATACAATATCTCCTTTCATACAGTAGCAATGCTCACACGCCTTTTCAGTCTTAATGAGAGCACCGTCAGCAAAGATTTTGTCTTCGTGGACACAATCTTGCGTTGCTTGTGTCACAGGCATCATCGTCGTCGTTGTTAATAAGAATCCTGGCGTCGGTCTCACGGTGGTTGTCATATCATCTAAAAGAGGTATCTCATCCTCATCGTGATCTGAAATTTGTAACAAACTAATTAATAATTTAGATCACAGATATATAATTTAACTTTTTGCTAAACCTCCTAATTCTTATATTAGTAAAAGGCGGCTATCAATCGATCTTTTTCAAGTAACCGTTGTTAAGAGAATAAAACAAGATAAATTGTGGGAACATGATGGATGGGCGAAGCTTATAAATAATTATATTACAACGTTAGAGATAATAAAAATCAAAACGAGTTGAGGGTTAAGAGAGCACATATTTAAGTGATGGAGCTAAGGGAATGAAAATTAGGAGCAATTTCCATAATCGAATCGTAGAAATTCTTAAAGGTAACAAGTTTTCTCAACACAACTACCCGGCAGTACAGTTTTTAAATGTATCTGGTACTTACCGCATGAGTATCTGATCGGACAGCAGACATCCTTATGGTATATCGGGGTGCATCCGTCCACGTGTAAGGTACATTCTTGCATTACACATGTTGTCATGTTGTGAATACAATAGCAATGTTCACACGGTTTATTGGGGGTAGGTGGTACTTTAGATCCTTCGGAAAAGTATTTGCCATCTATACTGCAACCATATTTATCCACCTTTCCTAATCCAGTTGCACCATATTCCGCCGGAGACGATGTTGAGGTTGAAGTTAACAGATCAACTGGAACTGAAATAAACAAAAATGCTACAACATGCCCATATGAAAATTATTCTTTCGCTATTTATAGACATTAAACAAGAAATCAAAATTATTTCATTTCAAAAGACAAGGGTGATTTTCGCCAACCCCATTATAAATATATTAGTAATAGGTCACCAAAATATAGCAGTTTAATTTAATATCAAATACTTACCATCGGGGCAAGTTACGATGGGGCAGCACTGATCTGCACGTTTCTCCACAGTACAGTCTTGTCCAATGGGTTTAGTGAACGGGCAGACCCTCAGGTAGCACATCAGCATTCTATTGTGGCACGTGCAATTTAAACATGGCTCATTTGTCATGATGCGATCGCCTTCGCCGTAGTGTTGGAAATTATAATAACATCCTTCAACAGGTGCTGAAAAGCAAGAAAATAGAGTATTAGCAAGTGTAGGCGAGAGCTTCACTTGACGGAATATTACCCAGCCCTTTAGGATCTACTTAGATGTTTTGTCGACCTTTTTTAGCTTTCTGTATTTCACAGAGCGAAAGTAAAACGCCTGTTTACGACTTTTCAAATTTTAACAGGTGTTTAACACAGGGAATTTCAATATTCCTACAACACATATAATTACCAGATTTCCCAGTCAGGGTCTTACATATTTTAGGAAATTATAAAACGATTTAGGTGTTCGGGCACGGTCGGAATTAAACCCACAACCCGGTATTTTATCGGTATAGCTTAGCCTTACATTGCCATCACTGGATCGTCGAACCCGTCATAGCAGTTTACTTCATAATAATATTTATTGTATTTAACAAGAGTTATGAAAAATAATGAGTGTTGGCTTTGTTAATCAAAGCAAGTTGGTACATACCTTCAAAAAGATCTAATGCAGTTTGGTTGCTTGCAGTGGGTGCTGGAAAAAGATAACAGTAAAATTAATTCATTTTTAGTAGGGGAGGACTGTGAACTTAGTACTACATACTATTTTCGACTTTCGACGATGAGAACGGATTTTATTAAATGTTACTTATTGTGTTTAGTGTTTACTTGAAAAGCATGGTGCGAACCAAATGTGTAGGTATCAAGCAAATAAAACCGTGAGTTAACGACGCTGTTATTTTTCCAGTTAATTAATTCAGTCGTAAAAATATAATCTTCGTTTTACGCCTATTATTGTAAAAATATCAAATTAGGTGTAGTCTACACTAATATATGTACAAGTAATTCTATAGATTTATAAAAACGCACGATATTTTTAAAATCTCCATAAAATTAGTTATTCTGTTTACTAAAATTACTCTATGTTTTTTTCTTGGCACATTCAATTTATCATTATTATATCTCGAGGAAAACGCAAAATAGTAATTCTCCAAATTGCCACCATTTTATTTATGGATTAAAGGCGTAATTAAAAAGTTATATAAAGTGTAAGGCTATAATTTCTTAGCGAGCTAGCTGGAGCTAGTAGAACCTCGAGAGCAGCCCCATACCCCAAATGGAATTTCCCACACACCATAAATACCACTTTTAAGTGAATGTCTGTGGTACTTAGTTTCCTAAAAAGGACAAAAGGTGAAGAGTGTGTTTGCACTAAGAGAGGTCGTGACCGTCCACGTAACGGTCATAAGGAATGTTGTTAGTCAGGTTGGTAGTAGTCATCAATATATGGGAAATCGATAGAAATGTATAATCAATAAATAACAATAGCGTTTATCTTTTTACATCTTTAAGAACAAGAAACAAGCAGACTATATGATTTTATACGAACATTTTGAGACAAACTTTAATGGTAGAATGTTTTGATTTATGGTTTAAATATGAAATCAGAAGATATTTTATATGTAACATATCAAATTGCGATGGCAAAATTTTGTTGTTAAATTTTGCCTAGGTGATGTTATAGATTGATTTTATTTTGGTAACAGATTTGTAGAACGCCACAGATTAAACACTAAAACATCTTAAATTTAAACTATAGACAATTTTGACTCTTTGGAGGTGAGTAACTATTTCATGAGGCTAAATCTGAGAAATTATTATCTGGACCTAAGTTTACGATATTTATTCTATAAAAACTAACATAAGTTGCAATTGAATAATAGCCACGAAAGTTCATCAAATTATTGAACTATGTAAAATCGTGCACTTAAATACATGGGTCGAAGTAATTGAAACGAAGAGGCAGCATGAATTCAAAATTTGCACTGCATTAATATGGATTGTCGTTACAATGAATGAATGTCGCCGTGGTCGCCATACGCGATTAAGTTCACACGGGTAGACCTAAAGATTGTAGGCCACATTTGAATATAAGTATTTCCTAACTATCTAAAATGCGAAACGTTATGTCGCTCTAGGGTGAAACGCCGTTAATAGATTAAGTACCAATAAATAGGTTGTGAAACAGACACAGAAGTGTGTCTGCCACACGAAAGGGGGCGCGATTTCACTAAGTGCGAAAACGATATCAACTCTCAGAAATTTCTTACACATTTAAGAAATTGTTTCAATTCGTTCAATATTTAATGACGTAATGCAATTATTATTTACGATTATACATAAACCCATGAAACGCAAACGAGAAGCAACAAAACGCCAAATTGTAAAATTAATGCGTCATGTGTAAAAGCCATTAAACGCTTTAATTAACAGATAATGAAGTCAAAAAAATCCTAATATGATTAATTAAGATTTTAGGCGAATAAATTGTAATCTTACGTTTTTATTACTTTTGATTCCAGTTGAAAAATCGTTTAGTACTAAAATAATCCGATTAGAACAATGACGAAATGCGATCTTCGCTCGTTAGTAGCGAAATGAATCGTTATCGGTTATGACTTATGTGCAGAAAGTTTAGCGGTGAGTTGGGCGGTCTATATCGCTCGCGGGCATCTCACGAAACCCACAATTTCTGGGTCACGAGACAAAACAACGGTTGTACTTGTTCCTCAGTTCAACTGAATATTGTGAGTTATGGGTAGATAAGGGAATATGTATAATTTAAATACGAAATCCTTACTATCGTATTTATGACGCTTAGTGCTTTCCCACCCGCTATTGTTACCGAATACCATTATTTATGAGGATCATAAAGTTCGAATCGAATAACACGCGTTTTATGATACAATAACTGGAATAAGCTATGCTTAGAGTGTTTGTCTGTATATTTAATAGAATTATCAAAAAGTGAGTTATATACGTAAAAAAGAAAATAAATATAATTTTGTTATAGTGCCCGTATCTTTCCTCTATTAGTTGCTGGAATTGGTAAAACCGAAACACGGAAGTAAAGACCTTTGTTTCTTACTTTAAGCAAATTCCTACCATCTTTTGAACAAGTTCAGATACCTGGTGTATCTACAATGCAGGTATCTATTTATATGCTGGATCCGATGGGAATCGAACCCACGGCCCGTTTACTTACTCTGTAAAGAGAATTTAATATGCAGCGATGTAGAATTTATATATACCTGCTGTCGAGCACGCAAAGCACGCGGCTAGCGCAAGAAGCGCTGCCGCCGCGCGCCTTTGATCCATTTGCCGTCGTCCTGGAACAAACATAAAATTCCCATTATTAAAAAAATTAAATCACAAACACACAAACGAGAATTTTTTTTAATTTGTAATTGTTTATGGGTATAAAAAACATTGTAATATTTATATTTACACTTTAGACTGTTTAAAACGTGAATGGTTAGGTAAATAAATGTGTACTACTCGCATAAACCACAGACAATACATTTTCATATGATTGAAGTTCAAAGTTTTGTGATCACAGTTACAGACATTGAACACTTTGATATATCTTCATTGGAGAAGTGAATGAGATTTCAATTTAATTAACATTCAATTAACACAAGCTACGAAAATTGTGTAGCGCGGACCGTAGAGCGAATTGGGTCTACGGAACCTAAAATAATTACGAATTAATTTCAAAGTGCACAAAGCTTATAAGTATACCTTTTTAAGCATATTTTAATATATATTCTTGGTGAAAATAAGTAAATGATGTATTCTAATTTAATAAGATGACATCTTATCAATATGTTCTCGAACACGATTTAATGTTGTATTGTTTAACGTTATATAATGAATTGAAAAATTAATTTTAACCAGTTTTTTAGATCTATGCTGATCAATAAATTTTATCTATCTTAGTCTTGTTTTTATGCACTTGATCGTAATCAAAGTTTATTCGCCCATTTCATTATGAGTGGTCAATTATGCTAATAAACGGCAAAAAATCCCTAGTTAACCTAAATAAGGGTCGGAAAAACAAAAACAACGCTTCCAACCTCAAGAATGAGTACGAATAATATTAAAAAGCTCACAGTGAAACGTAAAAAGCGTTGCCGAGGGAGCTTATTACAGCTTTTTCAAGTTTCTTGATTAAAATGTGGTGAATGCTGATTCAGGCGGAACAGTAGCCGACTTTTTAATTAATAATCTTATACGAAATACGGAGCGTAACGAAATACTTAGAGTACTAGTCGAGTGTTCTTAGGCCCTCGGACGTAATGATAAATAGAAGTAAACAGGGGTGGAATATGTGTCGTTGAGGACGCGTGCTCGAGTGTTGGCGAGGGTCGCCCCGGCTCGCCTGTGTGCGGTACACACATTTCTCTTACAATGCCATGTTTTTATGAATACCGGATATATACATTACCGCTTATTGTCACACGTCTGCGTTTTATTTTTATTGCTGTCGCGATTGTAGAAACAATGTGTCAGACGCCAAGATCGCGAAATTACAAATAATGTGAAAATACCTATCGGCATTTATTTATTAATTTCTTATAAATCTCGCCTACATGGGTCATATTATGATTCTGTCCGTTTCACTGACCTTAATACCTTTTAGATATATATGATTCCAATCTTCTAGCAACATAAAAGTCGGCCATGAATTTAACCGTTGATCATAAGTAATGTATCCATTTAGTAAAATATGTATTAATTCAGTTATAGTTTTTTCAATCCGTACGCATGTATTCGTAGAATTAGCATACAGACTGCAGTTACGGGAGAAGTGAATGTGTCATAAATAAAAACAAAAAATACGCTCAGAGTCAATAACTACAGGCTACAGGGTAAATTATTGTTTCTGCCAGCGCCGCGTTAGCGTGGGAATCTTCCCGAGAGTACCCGTTGTTCTAACTACCACCACGTTCTAACTATACACATTACACACCTACTCCGTACTACATCATGTATTTGTAGTTGAAGTCTACCTCACATACCTTCTGCTTATTCATCGCTCACAATTTCCTTTTTATACAATTCCAAGGGACGCCTTGAGGGGAGTGTTTACCTTTACTTCGCTCTCTCTTGTATCTTTTTCATTCGTTTCAAAGCTTGCGTATATGACAGTGCTATGAGACGTTCCAATTGGAATTAAAATCGATATTGAATCTCATTGAAGCTCATCTTAGAGGAATAAATGCTATTACTTTTGAAGATAGGGGGTCCCTCCGTCTAGACGCCTCGCAAGTCACCTCAGCCGTGAGGGTGAGGGCGGAGATAATTCAACACTATCCGTTTATTTGCTCCACTAAAAATATCACGGCTTTCTGTCACTTGCAGTGCTTTAGAAAGGTTATTTTTATGACAGAAGAGGCGAGACAAACGTAGTGTTTATTTTACGGACGGTGACATAATGCAGCTCTATACTCCGCCATCTTAAAGATGCGTCCGTCCTATTTTGGCCATGGATAATCGGAATCCACTAAAAGGAAAATTTTTACTGCACGTCTTTTCTAACTGTAAATTAGATACTCCTACCGTCCATTTAATATGAATTTTTTCCAGTTGGGTTTTTAAACGATAAAAAGACATTAACAGATTGAGAAACATGATGTATCCTGTGGGTACCGAAGTGGGTAGACATGGATTGCTACTATAGGACTACCGAGCCCGTCATTTTTAACACCGTAGATCTAAATTTACGTGATTTTAATCATTTTTACACTACACCACGCAAACGTCGTAACAATATAACTGTGTGGTCATTATAATTAACTCACTTTGAAACAAAAATTCCACAGCCCAAGTGTACAATGGAGTTCTACTTCCCAAACGTAATTTAGTATACCGTTTGTCCCACTGTACCGTCTCGGGTAACAGTAATCTGATAAAAATAAACTTAATATACACTATGATCGGGGGTTATACAATAAAGTGTATTATTAATACCGTTCGGGTCAAACGACTCGCTTTATAGTTTTTATATGAAGATTAAGTCGGAGCTACGCGTCGTTACGCTTAGGTTCTTTTTTCCTTTTATAATATAAAAATAGATTACAGTATAATGACTGTACCTTATGGATATTCAAGTGCTAGATGTATATTATATGTCACCGTCATCGAGTATACTTAAACCTTCCTCTCGGGGCACAAATGGGTCGAGTGTGCAATTGAATTTTTGATTAAATCTGCCTGTTTCACTTTATAATCTTTTAAGCGGTTCAATTTATATCTAGATCAATTGGCTGTTCAATTTATAACATAATCGTTGATGAAAACTTATCCACTTTTTAAACTAACGAAATTGAGAGAACAAAGAAAATATTCTATTAACAATTCTCAAGTGGCATGTAACGGAATCCGATATAATTCGATTAAAGTGCTACATTTATGATGGAATATTGATGCAATATAAGTGCAACAATCAGTTCAGAAACCAATAAAAGATGATTGAATAGTATCGGAAGGGCAGAGCGGGTCGCTGGCCGACGGCGACCGAAACTGCTCGTGCCGGATGAGTTGCCCAACATACCATTTCGGAAGACTTGCAACCGCAGCGGACAGAGAACATTGACACCAATCTCGGAGATCTCAAATCAATGTCAAGTTCTATTATGATTTGTTTTTTATTGTTAAATTGTCACCAAACGTTATTACCGCAATAAAGTTTTGATAGATAAAAAATTCGTGATGAGCTATACGTTTTGAAATCGCGCCTAATAATAGATCATATACATTCTTCATATTGAATCTACACTTTTGATAATTGAGAAAATCTTTATGAAGGTAAACAATATTTGAATAATTCAAAAACTGTGTCACCGTATGTTTGTACAGCTTCAGATTATTTATTCGCCCTAATTCAACCTTGGCTCAAATTGGTCCGCAAGCCGAATACTTGACAGGGGAAAATCGTTTAAAATAATGCGCGTACGCCGTGGCGTTCGCACGCTCAGATATACCGTGCACGCCCCGCTGTTCGTACAATGCTTTCACGTACTCGACTCGCGATTATCAACCGTCGTAAATTACTAATGATTAGCATAGGAGTCGTGGACACGGCGACACCTAGTTGTTATTAGATTCGGCTAAAAGCATCGCTGCATCGTTATTAGGCGATAATTGTCCTTATGCGACGGTCGATTAACGGCAGAACTGGTGACATGCGCATACAAATTATTCGGTACAGAACTCACGCGCGCTGGAAAATAAACGTCCACGTTGCAGTACCACCGTTACGGCAATATGGTAGAGACAAAAAAAACTTAACTAGGTAGCTAGGAAATGTAGTGATTAATAAATTGAAGACGACCCGACGTTTCAGATGTTTTACACATAGCTATTTACGTCACAAGCCGTTATAAGTACCCACTAAGAAGGTCCTTTTCTATTTCCTTTCTCCTGTACTTCAGGTTGGAAGAGATCGCTACATAGCGATAAGGTCGCTTTTTATTTATAAGTTAGTACGTAAGATTTTTCTTCATTAATATGTATTATCTGTGGTATGTATCATAAATAATAAATAAATCAGTGTTTTATTAATGAGTACCATTCGCGTGAACTACAGACAATACTTAAGGAACAAATTACTTTCAAAGTAACATCAAACATTTCTCCTAAGAGACCGAGAGGATATACTGAATAATATATAATCTTAAGAGGGTTCGATATAGGGCACTCGTGTGGAAGAAAATTCACGTGACAGTGTTTACGTCTCTCAGGGAAATGGGTAAGAAAAGAGCAAATATAAGTCTCCCTTGCGGGCCGTTCGGAGTTCATTGACCCGTGCAAATTTTGTGTCAGATTGTGGCAGTAAAAACTATCTAGACTGCCTCACTACATAACAGTTCTTGGTTTTTTCTTCATTACAATTTCTGCACACCTTATCTCCGAAAACATCGGGTCATTTGTACTGTAGTGCCGTGTCACATACGTGCATAAGCCTTTCTTTTTTGATTCTACAACATTTAGATTATTTCTATAAAATGTATCATAATAAATATAAATACCGTCTTCGATAAACACATTGCAAGAAGTCTAATCAACTACGTGTGACTTTCAGTCGAAAATAATAAAACGTACGCATTGTAAATAGGTAAAATTTTGAATTCCGTTTTATAAGGAATTGGTAAAATTAAAAAACTTCCTTGATGGGAACTAAGTGTATATTAAACCTAAAGAAACTTACATCATAGGCAGGCTTTGATATAATAAAATTATCCTTTATTCCGTAGGCGATAAGACTGAATTAATAATTCGCCACCTTAATGAGAGTAATGCAAAAAAGGAAAATCCATAATATGATTCCCTATTCCGTGTAAAAAGCCATAAAATATTTTAATGACAACAATGTTAATAGGTACTTGAACTTGTTATGTTTCGCAGAGCGGAAAATACTGAGAGAATATAGGCGTTAATTAGGAGCGATAAATTACCTTGATTAGACTGCTACCTCCAGTTGAACAGACGCCTAGCGGTTCAAATTTCCAATCACATCTTTATCGTTTTCCGTTTCACCTACCTGTTTCTTGACTCTATCTCTGTATCGATCTTCCTATCTACATTATCCTTTTATCTATACTAATATATAAAGCTGAAAAGTTTGTTTGAACGCGCTAATCTCAGGAACTACCGGTACGAATTGAAAAAAATATGTATGAAAAAACGATTCCTTTTTGAATGATCTAAATCTTATCTTTTAAAATTAACTAGCAGGAACGACGGGAGGGGACGCGAACGACGTCGTGGGTAACAGCTTAAGTTTATATGGAGTTTGCAAAAACGAATTTGGATGCCCAAAATAACGATTCTTGCGGACGAAGTCGCTGACACAACTAGTCATTTATATAGAATTAAATGTATTTCACAAACATTACGTAAATTAACTTTCTATGGACTATATAGAACCGATAATGGAATTCACAGCTATCGAAAGAGGGAACATGATTAGAATATAGCCAATATATCTCACGTACCGTATTAACCCGACCCCAAGTGCTGGCGTGGTTAGCAGCGGCCGAGCTCTGATATCAGGCGATGCGCGGGCGCACGTACGCCTCGCCAACGTAGTCCGAATAATTTAGGTAAATCCGAGCTAGACATCTCATCACCGTTACAAAGTGTTAACATTCCGAATGAATATTTTCAAGAATTATCTTAATTCTATTCCGTAACTTAGTTCCAATACATCTTTAAACAAGAGTAACTTAGTTTCGGACATAAATATTTAGCGTTACGACGCTTTCAAATCGACTTTTTAATTTCTAAATTTGAATTTTAAGTTTGTCAAGTCAACAAAATCACATAAAAGACGTTAACAAAATAATTCTCTTCGAGGAATTCAAGATTAGGCCTTCAATAAGTGGCTATAGGAGTGGCCATTGATTTTATGGAAGTCGTAATATTTCATAGCCGTTACTTTAGTAAGTAATCCTTTGTGCATTTGTTCGAAGAAAGCAATGTCGAATGGAAAGGTACGAGTACTGTTGCTAGGCATACTATGAATTCGCGATTCGCGGCCGCGGCGCTCACACGACGATCGTTGCCCCTGCGCCTGCGTGCCTTCGTTGCGCCAGCGCAACCATCGCACTAAAGGTGTACTGACATTTTTAATGGTGCTTAAAACATGCATAAGAAAACAATATTTGATTTGTCGATGTATGAATTTATATTTATATTATAAAGAAAGATCTATTTATTCTATAGAAAGCCTAATTATTTCTGCTAGATAGTTTCAAAACTTAATACTTTTCAACCATAGCAATATAACTTCTGACCCGTAGTAGGCCCTAAAAATACATAATTTATTTTTCGATTAATACTAATCGTCGCACACATTGAGAGCAAACATTCAATATTGGTCAGAGTGAAACACAATTTTGAGCCCCTCGTGTAATTAACGACGTCGTTCCACGACGGCCACCCTCGCACGTTTCTCGTCCATTGGGATAAGCACTCTTTCTGATCGCAACTAGTTATTTGGGCGACCACTGACCCGAAACTTCTACACCCTTCTAAATAAGATAACACCCCAAAGTGACCTTCGGGTATATTACTTGTTTGGAATTAATCAGATTGCCTGTACATTTTCTTAATGCGAATATAAAAAAATAGAATCTACCAAAGCAGGGAATATGGGAATATAATATAATATATTAAGGGATTATGTTATTTCAAATTACATACATTCTTTTCATTTTCAAATAAATTTGACAATTAATTGTAAAACGTAATAATTTATAAGAGATAGAATCAAAAAGGTTCAAATATTTTAAAGTTGTAAGTCTTTAATGTTACTTTAATATGTCGTTTATATTGTATTGTCGTTAAATCGTATGTATTAAAAAACTAAGGAAAACAGGAATTATTATGTCGTAAACAAAAATAACTAACAGACGTCTAAGGGCAATTGGTTGGGTACAGTTGTATATAATACTTGTTTGAATGGTGAAAAGCTCACGCACGTATACAGTTAAGTTTAGGTAGAACCTATGTACTAGGAAGTAACTGAAGGCGACGTGATGTCTATTGACTTGTATTCGAAGTCATGTACGAATAGTTCGTGTCAAACCGTTCGTAGCTAAGCCCCGACCAGTCATTACCGGCCATATCTCTATGTAAGGAATGAATGGTAAGCACTTGCAAACGATCGTCAAAATCTACCTTTGAACGGCCAAGCACAGGCACGTACGGAAACTTTACAACCATTTTCCACAAAGTGTTTCACTTCCTATGTCTTTAACGGTTACAGTACTTGACCAAAGAGTTTGCTAAAATGGCTTTTTAAGTTAAGGAACGTTTCCTAAGTTCACAGTTCTAAAATGTATCTGGTTTTTCGATGACTGTGTGTGAAAATTAAAAAAAATGAAGTTGATTATAATGTCGAGGTATTCGGGTTCAATCTTATGTAGAAATTAAAGATATGTGATAAAATATATCTACTTTAAACGCAAAACTTTAAATAAAAATAGGTAGTTTAAAAGTAATAGGATAAGAGTTATAACATATATTTATGGCTACTACATTTTTTGTGTTTATAATAATATAGGTAACGCTTTATCGCCAAAAGGCAAGAGTTATTTAACAAGATCATGAAAAGAAGTCTTATATATTGTATTGGAATATTTCAAACCTTTATATATATTAAGTTGGTTATTTTCACACCACGCATCAGTTTTGAAAGAAATGTGCAGTCAATAGTATAGAATTCTTGCCGTCATAGAGACTGCAGTATAGAACCAGTTTAGTATAAAAAGTATTAAAAGGACGATAACATGAAATATTTATGTGAAGATTATCATATTACACGGGATTCGTGTTCATCTCTTAGAATATTGTGTTATTCGTTTTCACTTTGTTACCGCAGCCTAAAAGAATTTAATCCTTATTTTTACAAACGATTTTTTTTATATTGGAGCTTAGGGATTACTCAATAAAAGGTGAGATCGCCCAGCCCTATTAGACTTAATTAAGACGCGCTATCGACCAATACTTTTGACAATGGATCATATTTTTAACACTCACGGCTTTTCTATCTTTGAGTGTGACCCGAACAGTATTTAGATATTCCTATACTTACGAATAATTTTGCATCCAGATTTTTCAGACGCTGGCTCTGACAAGTTTACAAAAATCAAACAATTAAACCCACGATATAGACCACTGACCGAACCAGAACCACTGAAATATGAATCCTATCAAATAAATTTATTTGTTTTTAAATACAACACTTCAACTGTTTAAAACGCGATATCCATTAGTTAAACTTGGATGCTTCGCAGCAGCCGTGGTCACGCGGAGACAGCTAACCTCGGGCCGTACTTCAAATAAGTTTAACTAATATATATCGCATTTTAAACCTTAAAGTGTTTTAGTTAAAAGTGTACTATTCGCGAAAACTACAAACAATATTTAAGTTTATTACCTACTATTTAAGCATAGCTACCCACATATCACAATGTGTAATTACAAAAAATCTAAATTATAGTGTGTTTCAAATTAGAGTTTAATGGCACAGGAAATGCATAAGGAAAGCTTATTAACCATAAGTGCAATAAAGTTTCTTATGAGCGATCCTAAGGATACCACCACCCGCTATTATCTAGCTGTGAGGCTGGATTTTATTGCTGGAACTATTAAATGAAAGCGATTAAAAGTCGTGTTTTAATCAACTCACTACGTTAAAGCTATATTGTTATTAGGCGTGCAAAATCATTAAACTCAGACTGAAGATAGTGGTATAAGAAGACTCTTTAAATAAAACGCTTTAACGGTTTAAAACGCAATATATATTAGTGAAAGTTATTTGAAAATTACATTACGTTTCAGATGCTTTACAGCAGCCGTGACCATTAAAATAATTTTCAAATAAGTTTAACTAATATAAATCGCGTTTTAAGCCATTAAAGTGTTTTATTTAAATTTGTACTACTCGCGTAAACTATAGACAAGAAGCATTTATATAAAAACATAAATACATATTGTAAGTTGAAAAAAATTTATTACATGAGTGGGACTCGATCCTACGATCTCTCAATTTAGACAAGCTTCATCTGGTCTTAGGTGTCATTGAATATTTATAATTTAAATATATTTATAATTAACATAAAGCAAATACATGTGTGAATATTTCAAGACTATTTATTTTTAAATATTATGAACAATAATTATTAAGACTCCTTGTCTTTGTTATTTCATAATCGTTTTACGAATGTAATAATGACAATATGCATTAAAGAACATTATATTATTAACCTTCGATAAAACGCCAGCTGTTTAAACAATGTCTTTAATTCTATCGACACTCCAATCTTTACAATCATCAAATGACATGTATAAATGCCAGCTAGTGTCAATTCTTAAATTTCGCCTACGGGGTTGTGAGGCGGATATATTATTGTGTCTCGTGCAGAGTATGTATTTATTTATAGGCATATAATAGTTAATAAGACTATGCAACCCTTCTCGACCGAAATTATTTCTGTTTAAACGGGTTCAATCCTAAAATGACCTTAATCATAAGGCCAGGTAGGTTTAAATCTATAAGTTCAAGAAAAGGTTTATAAGCAAGGAATCACGCTGCTTCAAACTATCATCTTTAACGAATAGTGTAACTAAATTGGTGACCAGCACCGACGGGTTAACGTGCACCACAATCGCAGTCTAAGAAAAATATCTAAATAAAAGTTCGTTCGTCCCATTTGCGTTCCAAACACGGGTTCTGCAGTCGAGTGCACTAACCACTAGATGAACGAGGCAGGCGTTCGAGCAATGAATAATAATGAAAATGATTGAATGAGCCCGAATATTAATGAAAGCTCTCGAGTCCAGCCGGGGTCAAGTTATGCGTACAGCATCGGCCCACATTTGAAGGAATACAAGTAGCTGTGGAGAAAATTTACCGCTAACGTTGCCATATAAGCTGTATGAATTTTAGGTCGCTATAAGCATAGTATGCTGTTACGCCAACATCTGCGCAAATATTGATTTAGTAAGTCGAAGACACAATAGCGTTTGGGCCGGGCCCGCATAGTCATATAATGGGGACGCGAGGATCGCAAGACTCATCGATATCTTTGAACAAAAACATTGTTCTTGGCCCATGGAGATTAACCAGAATTTCAGGGTATATTTTGGTTGGGGCAGGGCACGGATTTTTTTACAAAATGAAAATCGATATAGCAACGTTCATAAAATTGTGTTTCTCCCATGCCCTACTCGGAAGAACGTGACATTACAGCTAACTACCCTACAACCAAGAGACGATCCTGTTATGAATATGTGCATTTAATTATGTCTTGTTCGCGTTATTAATGATCTTCATCTAAAGCATCATAAAATAAAGACGGAAATTACAAGGTTAATTGCTTCAAGTTGCATGATACACGGCCTTATTACGGGTGATCCGGCGCCCATCATTACCCAGATACCGTTAGGAAGATACCGCATTTTTCAAACCATTATCGTAAAGGTAAGCACCGAATTTACCAATATCACGAAAGTAAATTCGACCGCTGCCTCTAATTTAGTACACGATTTATAAATATATTATTATCGCTAAATAGTGTACGATTGCGTATTGCATCACGGATGTTAAGTAAAGAAATGGACGTTAAAATCGATTCTGATGCATGAAGAAGATAAGCCGTCATTCTTATCGTAATAGAGCTGTCCGTCTATACCAAATGGAAATTTTATTTCGTAGCCATTTTATTGTTAGGCGTGTTTTAAAATTCTCTCTTGTTTTGCTTGTCTATGCCATTTATAACAGCGAACTGTTCCCGTTAGTTTGATTCGTTCGTTGATTAGGTAAACGCAATGGTCATTTATTTCTCAAACAAGTGTTTCTCTTAATAGATACGTTCTAGCCGTGTCTAAACACTATATTTAAACATGTCTTTTATACACAAACATCGTGATTAGTGTGATATTACGGAGTTCATAATATTTCAATAACATTATTCAGTAGTGAATAAAAAATGTTAGCAAAAAGCTTTGCTTTTTCAAGGTGATGATGGAATAGGCAAATAAGCTATTTATAAAGAACTCACCATAACAAATCATTTTCCGATACAACCTTAAAGTAATTACTACCGTGATAATTCTATAATCTTCTACCAAAATAGTTATCCTTAATTATCTTTCTGAATAGCACAAAATACATTTTACTCAAGTATCTTTTTCTCTCAATTTTCTTTGTTAGCCAAAAAAGATATGACTATGTTTTAATATAACATTTTGCCAGGCCTTCACGGATAGGGTTTCTTTTGTATCGAAACCAACAAATTTTCCTCAGACGCACAAGCATTCAACGAGGCAGTTGGGGCCGCAAATGGAGCCAGAGTGCATGCACCATGCCCACTCTTAGGACAATGACATCTCACGTTCCGCACGATAAAACATCTTGAACTTTATAAATAATACTCTTAAGGTTTTTATAACCGTCATAATTGAGAATAAATTACAGCAGAATTCCAATCCATTTTCTTTCGAAAAGCAAACCAATTCTTGCCCCGTCGCAATCGGCGAACACTAAACGGTTTACGATTTTGCGGTATTTATATAAATGACACCGAATGCAATAAAATTGGATGATATATAATTTTATTTCATGGTCACGAAGAGGTAAAATCGTTTGGCGGGCTCCATTGTGCGTTTTCGAATTCTCGTCAGGTCGTTCTCGTTAACCGATGGCGGGTCAATGTTTTTTTACTCATTTTCCCGGATCGAAAGTTTCAAAGACGTTTACAAAGATCCAAACCGCTTTTATTTGAACGCAAACAATGGTTGTTCAGTGTTAAGTAGACTCCTTATTTTCTCACGCCTCACCCTCTAGGCACTCGTCGGGTTCCAGACAAAGTTTGTAGTGAGTGCAACAGACACACTTCACTAACACAAACTCATATATATCGGTACAAATACTAATTGGTAAAAGACCTATGCAAACAAAACTTGAGAATTTTTACTTGGTAAATGGTAAAGTGGACATGTCTGTTTGTCTTGTTATTTAGAGTGTGGGTGCTATACTTTAGCTCTGAGTACTCGAGAGCTGTTTAATGAGGTAGCAAATGAAACGCAGCTCATTCCTTTTGTTTTAAATAATAATACCTATTTTCTCGTTGCGTAAATATAAAATAATCCTAAAATATATGACATAACTGCTCATATATTCTTCATCGCCATTGGATTGACCGATTTGAATATAGATTAAAATTCGAACGAGGTAAACGTTTCTATGTCAGATTAAAAGCACTGATTATAAGAACAAGGATTCCTAATTAGACACAGCCGAATTTGCAGAGTCAACAAATGAGAAAAAATTAGCACAGTGTCGTCAGAACTTTCACGCCTTATACGAATTTGATTGACGCGAAAGGCGATTACAATTGTAATAAAAAACTCGCCACAAAAACTAAGGCTAAATAACATCATAACCTACATTCCTTATAGCAGTCCGCGCAGTGAATGAGGTATTGTTATTTTATGTGAATTCTAAACTTACTTCACGTAGGACCATATTCGTGCGTTTTTCTTTTATCGGTCATTGTGAAGGCGAAGAGAGGCGGTTCTATCTTATATTGATATTCAAGTAGTGCCCCGACACAAGGTTCTTACTTGTAACCTGTGCCAGTGTTCCCTTCATTGTAAACCTATGAATATGCTAGCGCATAATAAATTTGCTACTAAATTCCGCTGACGTATCGATAGAAATGCAAAATGTTACTCGGAAATATTTACGTCTGTATCGTTAATATTATCGTTTCAAAGCTAACTTATGTAGAGTGGAGTCCGAAAAATGAAATAGGAAGTAAAAAATAATGACGCGTTTTTATAACTATCTTGAAGCCGAATAACGGTTTTGATTTCGTGCGAAAGTATGTTATGATACCATTTTACTGGAAATGAAAATTGCTTCGTCATATTCTTTGTCTCGGCATAGTAGGTGTTCTGTACCTACATTAAGTACTCGTGCGCACATTCGATTTACTTAAATTCGTTTCCGTAAATCTTTTAGAAAAAAATGATAAAGCTTGAATAATTCCTTAGTGCTTATAAAAAATTCTCACAATTTACGATCATATTATAAAGATTATTCAATATTTATTAAACTCGACTAAATTAAGTTAAGTCGTAATTCACTTGATATATAGTCAGGTCATTGGCACCCAAGAATCCCAGATTCGGTTCTTATAAACTGTCATTTTCTTAAGAATCTTGAGGCGGCGCGTGTCCCGCGAATTCTGTGTAACATCAAGTAGGTATTTGAGATCGACGCAAACGCTTTTTGTCACGCCGTGTCTACGATTGTGTGCGCATATCGACGTCAATTTTCTTTTACGATACTATACACAATGTCTATACGTACGCACAGTGGGTTGTTTACTTACTTAAATTGATAACATTTGATGACAAACAGTCTTTTATTATATTAGGTTAATCATTATTGCGTTGCATATTGTATAATTTCGTTTAATTGTTGTTACTGGTTATAGGTTAATTTTTTTATTCATTAAGGTTAGGTAAAACTCGGCCTAAGTCGTGCTTTTTAGATGTATTTTTTACCGTTTCTTATTCGTTTAAAAAAACGAACACTAAAGATTTCGTTTAACTAACATTAACACGTCACGTAATTTACAAGTCATTATGTTCGAACGTTAAAAATGCTCGAGGATGAATAGGGCATGAATCTGATATCCGTAAACAATAAGAAGTGATGCTATTAGCCTTGTGTTTTTGCATTTTAAAAAAAGCACCGCAGCATCAGGGTCGTAAAAGAAGAAGTCATCTAGCTATTTAAGTCCCGTCAAATAGGCGTAATTCCGTGTGCTAAGTGCAGTCTCTGCGCGAAACAAAAGAATCGGAAGTTCTTCGACCTTGCCAACTCAGCACGACTTCTCCAATTATATATATATAAAAATAAAATAAAAACCATTCAAATACTCTGATATTGGCACTTTTATTGTAAATGACAATGTGTTTCATTATATAATTATAACCCAATTTATCGGTGCCATTGTCGAATTAATTTTAAGCTTCACAACAATAATAAACATAAACCGTAACATTCGCGTGACAAAATACGATTTTTATGTGGTTATAATACGCGTAGAATTAGAGACTTATTTCTGAGAGAGCGTCATTTTCAACGGTTTCAAAGATCACTCATTGTTAATACGGCTCGTGTAAGCCGTGCACTGCTGAAAATTCTATTAAAATATCCGAATAAAAGTATATATTTATTTTTTAGTGCGCAGGTAACACGTGATTGTTATATAACGTACAATACACTATAAGAGATGAAAAACACTAAATTACTCTAATTTTAATGACTTACTTACGCTATTTTATGAATGGGCAACTAATAACACAATGCATACAAAAACAAATTTACATATTAGATGTATGTATAGTTTTAAAATCACAGATCGTATTCAACTAAGTTAGGAGATAGTGATAATGATCAACAAAAATCAAATATTATCTATGGTTAGGAAACCATAGATAATATTTGATTTACTCGAAAGTTGATGCAGAACATCGTCGTACATTCGACTATAAATCATGCGCCAATTGCAGTCTGCTATGTTCGTAGAAGTATAAATACTCGGAATGGCTTCATGTGAAGCTTACTGAATGGAAAATATATATTAATGAATATATTAATGCCGTATTGTGTATGTCGCCTACATTGGAGACGCTGTTATGCAAAGAAAGACGTTTCACACGGCGCGAGCGGTTCACACGAGTGATTCAACTTATTACGTGCAAATATTGTAATTGCGTGATAATGTAATGCGAATCGCAGGGGTTTGCGTAAGTTGCGAGATGGAGGGCACAACGTCGGAACCTTCACCCTGCTCTTGAACTCGAATGCACGTCCGCTGCCCGCGTCGAGCGCTGCGCAATCAAGCGAATCGAAAGCGAAGATTCGCGCGACGCTCTTGCTGTCTTTTCGACGCTTGTCTATACTAGTATTAAAAAGCTGTAGAGTTTGTTTGTTTGAACTCGATAATCTCAGGAATTACTCGTTCAATTTGAAAAAAAATGTGTTGCCTAGACCATTTGTTGCGGAAGGCTTTAAGGTTATAAAACATCAGGCTGCGACCGATAGGAGCCAAGAAACACTCGGAAATTTAGAAAAAAACGAGAACAATTATTCCTCTTGATAGGATGCGTGCACCGCGGGCTTAGGAACCTAAGTTATATATAAAATAATGATTCATCTAATATTTCTATAAATCTTGGGAGTTGGTTTGTTACTAAACGTAGCATATGATACTCTTCGATCTTTCAATTAACTATGCGTAAAAGATCAAATTTGTTTTTTGCTCAGTGAGGATGTAAAAGAGTGCCGAACAAATACGGTTTTGTATATATATGGAAATATAGCTTTCAGAGAGCTAAGTGTTTTATTTATTTATTAAACCTTTTTTTTTTTCAAGAATAAAAACTTATTACTGTACTTTATGTACTGAATGGCGAATCTACGTGAATGTACTGAGTCATTTTTATTATAAAAATAGAAAAAAAATAAACTGTCTTTTTATAGCTCATATAGAAATAATAAATTAAATAAGAAAACTAACACAAGATTACCTCCAGCATCGGATTATAATAATTAAAATACATGTATTTAACAATTTATATTTACAAGTTTTTATTCGTTTACTTTTCTTGCTACTTAAGTTATTAAAATTATGTGCGTGGGTGGTTTAGAAAATGTTTGCAAATATTTAAATATTATATCTGACTAAAATATGGTAAATACTTTAAAAATCACCATTATTGTTATTGAGTAATTGATCTCTAAACTTATTCTCGTCAAATAAAAAAATAATAATAGTTCTGCATACATTAAAATTCAGCTTAAACGTTTATACAAGTCTTATAATAATGGCATTATTGTTGTGAACTGCCTGATTTGATTTAAGTCTTGTTTGAAAGTACAACTGCAAATGATTAGTACAGGCCACTGTAAAATATTGGATTTGCTACGCTTGTTCTGAGCCACGCAGTTTATCTAGGTAGAAAATTTTATTCATAGCCATATTTATTCAGGACAGTTATTATTTCTTATTATGACTGAAATTATCTTTTCGATTCTAATTACGAAAAATTGTTAGAGTTTTTGCTGTATAAATGCTACTAAATATTTTATACATACGAACAGTTATATTAGAATACAATGTTTATAATTTCTACTATTTCGTGTAGTAAGTTTTATTTGTCAGGTGCCTAAAAAAATGTTTTTATGGTTTTCTTGTGAGCGAAATGTGCAATTAATTTATTTAAATTGAAAACAAGTACTTAATTGTCATCATTGTCATTGGTCAATTATCTTACCGAAAGTATATCGAAAAGAAAGCTGAAGAATGCTTGAACAACTTTGCCTTTTATGTTAGAATTTTCCGAAAAACATAAGAAATAACCTATAGAAAGAACGCTTAGAGTAAAAAGCAAGCATACTGACTATAGTGTTTTACTGAAAAAATGCAGAGAAAAAGTGTTCAGTCTCGAACAACAATAGAATAAGCTCTTTGAGCAATTCAGTGAACGCTACATCGACAGCGCGGCGCTCTCTTGGAAAAGCTCTGGAACCGGCTTTTCAGCACTAAAGCGTTGTCTTCAACTCTAATTGCACGGCTGTACGAACTTTATTAACTTTGCAAAGCTCGTGCTAACGTCGCCAATTATTTATAGCCCCGCAATAATAAGAAACATTGTTAGGAAAATATGAAAACTCACCGCACTTATCAGCCGCAAATTCGCGTCCACTTCCGTGGTGTTGTGTATTCGTTCTAAAAATTCGAAGTCGTTGTGTATGTGTGTGTCACTGTCCAGCAGCAAACGGTTAGTGGTATTAGCGAAACGTGATGCCTATGGCACGGCCGGGCCGGCACTGACGCAAAGTGGGCGCTCGCGCGGTGCCGCCGGTCCCGGAGGCTTCGCAGCGCGAGCTTTCAGCGATACACGATCCGCACGCACTGCACACTGCACTCGCCCTAGCCCACGCGTTGCGATTCTACTATCGTCTACTGTTTCGAGCGCCCGTCGCACGTTTGAACTCTGCGCAGTGCCCGCCGTAACGTATAAATATGAGCAGCAGTGGCGGGGGCCGGCGCCGGGCCGCGGACGCATCGCGAATCCACATCGGCATAAATTGAAGATGCAGGCGGTGTCCTCCAGATTGATTTTATGGCTTATCTATCACGGCCAATTAGAGAAGGCTCGCCACCCGAACCCGTCACGATTTCAGTACACACGACGCTAATTCACGCCGCTCCGTTGCATACGAACATAGTCGTTGCGCACTGCGTGGAGCTTTTCTCGTGTCTTTATACAGTAGAAACATACTAACACCGTCGATGTATAACTTAATTAGCCGTCGCGGAAGTTGTAGACGTCGACTTACATGGGGAGGCGAGGATGCTACATTATTTATCTCAATATAGTTTGTGCCTTAAAGCTGCAGTCTGGAGAACTGGTTACCTGCTTGACCAGTGAACGCACATTCAAAACTGTAGACAGCCTACGCAATGGACTAGGAATAACACACTGCTATGTGGGAAGAGTAAAGTCAACGCTGTCATTTATATAACAGCATTTAGAAGTAACAATCTTACTAGCAATATAAGTAAAAAAAAATCTCATTTACATTAATGTAAACAAGTACTAATATGATTAAAATAAAATGTAATAAGATCTACTTTTAAATGTTATTGTATTTAAATAAAACATTATCGGGAACCCCGTCCCCGAGTGACCACGGCTGCTGCAAAGTATCCAAAGCAGGCTGTAGTTAAAAATATATTATAAATAACTAAACTAACACATTTCGCATCTTAAACCGTAGAAGTGTGTTATTTAAATGAGTCCCCTCACGTAAACTACAGCCAATACTTAATGTTATTATATCTATTTTAAGTAATCAATCATAAAACACAAATCGATGATCGTGGATCCATGAAATAATCGAACTACTAAGAGAAAAAAAACCTTGGTAAACTTTAAATATTATATAGAATACCCAAATAACAATATATAATGTGTTTTCCACGATATTAGAGAGGGTATTGCCAATCGATTTATAACCAAATTGATGCCAATTACCCACTCTTTTGTGCTCCGCGAACTTCTTTTGATAAAAATATCCAATAACCGATCCTTATTCAAAAGTATATTCGTTAATATAACGTTATCTTGGCGGTGTTCCCGCCATTCGTTTTAGTTATAATTTATGTATGTATGTACAAGCAATAAATCAATTAGATGTGGCGATAAATCGAAAGACTTCATCAATTAAATAACAACCATCAACACCGAAATAGTTTACAACTTAAACTTTTTAATTATCATTTCAATGTTTATTACTTGGCGTGATCTTGTGATCTAAAGGCCAGTGACACTGGATTAGAATATTTAGTAGTCCGCGAGAAATATTTTGGGCAATTGTTTCTTAACATTCGATACTTTCTGATCATACTTAATTGTAAACTATTTATTACAGCTTTACAAAAAAACTACAAGATATACAGTTTTACGTATTAACATATAAATAAAATGCTGCCTTATAGCTAAGCAGCGATCTCCTCCAGACAAACTGAAGTACAGGAGAAAAAAATAAAAAGAAGACTTATTTATTGGGTCACTCTTAGGTTATGTAATAAAACACCTCTTGGAATTTCTTTAATTCTTGAATCGTAATATATCAAACTAGCTGTGCCCGCGACGTCATCGGCGTGGAATAGTTATTTTGTGCAACATTTTATTTAATTTTGCAAACAACTCTTTAGTTTTATAAATTATAGCTGTAAGAGTCGTTTAATTTAAAGAAATAATTCTGTAATTCATAGTTTTTTTTGGTTTTTTGAGGCGTTTTCGCAACACAAGCAACGGAAGCTTCCCAAGATTAAATAATTCACTACTTTGCACCTATTAATCGTAGCCTGATCTTTAATAGCCTAAAACCTTGCTCGATAAATACTTTAACTAACACAAAATACCAGTAGTTATTGAGATAGCTCGTTTAAACAAACATATAAAGATGCGGAACCTTTCTTTGATTTCTAAAAATAAACTCCACAAGACAAGGTTCTATTTATTAATTAAAGCAAACTCAATCGTAACATAACGGCTCTACAGCATTACTATGCTAATTTATTATTGGGATATATTTTCTGGGCATCCGTAATGTGACACACATTTTTTTAACTTAACTGTAGCGCAAATATTATGATTGATAGATCAACTGTTAATTTGCCTGTTTTCTTTATCTAATGAGAATATATATATTTGAGTTTTATGTACGAAAACATTAAGAAAATATTATTATACTATGATTTTTTTATCGATGGTACTGTAATAAATATTGAGATCAACCTCATCGCCTTTGAGATCAACAGTTAAGCGCCTGTTGTTATAGAGTGCGAGAGCTCTTGGGCTCCAATCCTGAGTAAGCATGACAAAAATACTACTAAATACTGGAACTTTCACAGGTGAGATACAATGTAAGGCCGTGTCGTTGAAAGACAACCCTACAGTCCCTGTTACCTTTACGTCAATAAAAGGGCGGACTAGGAAGTGTATTATTTTCATACTCAAAGCTTTCAGTACATGCAATGCGCTGTGAGCTCCACCTGCTCGGAAGAATCGTAACTCGTAAGACAATAAGTTCATACGTGAGCACTGAGCAGAAATGAGCCAAATAAAGAATCGCAGTGTGTGCAGATTTTGTGAATGTAGTGGTTGATATTCGTATGTCCCGACTATTGATTTTGTCCACCCCAAAACGTACACCCCGCCACAATACCTATAAGCCACTGAACTCTATTATTATCAATTTATTGACTGCTCCCAAAATAAGAAATCGATTATAGAGTTAGTTTGCTCTAGATCAAAGATTTGAGGAGAGGTTATAGCAGACTGCAGTGCATTTTATCTACGATTTAGGTATATATATATTATCCACGAGCTGACTGCTTTGCAGATGTTTTAATAACGATCTGTTCTTCTTTTTTAAACTTAACGTTTTTTTAATCAAACGAACTATGTATATTTATATATTCCTTTTAAATAAAACACTTAAAGGTTTAAAATGCGATATAAATATTAGTTATACTTATTAGCCTCCCCGTGACCACGGCTGCTGCAAAGCATCCGAAACGTCGGGCCATTCTAAGGCCAACATTCATCGCGTGTTAAACCGTTAAAGTGTTATATTTAAATATGTACTACTCGCGTAAACTACAGATATCTTTTGTATATTTCTTTACAAATTACGTAAATTGTAGTGACAAAAATTTAACTTAACATTATTGTATTTGTTTTTTATGACTTTAATAAGACATATTTAATAAATAAGTGTAGGGGGTGGAATAGTTATTTTGGGCGCACAAATGTGTTTTTGCAAACCTTCTTTTTTTTATCTATATAATTTTAAGCTATTACCTGTCTCGTCCCAATTGTCGTTGCTCAAAATGCAAATAAATCTTGATTTGTGGAATATTTTTGTTTTAATTCAAAGTAATAGTGTATGCAGTCGTTTGCAGGGCCATCGATTTATTTTAATTATCTATTTTCCCCCAAGAATAATAAATAGTAAAAAATACATTTACGAATATTAAAGACACTCGTAAAAAATACAGACGACAATTTGATTTAGTTTGTTTCTAATTTATCCTTAATTTAACGGAAACATTAATTTTTCGTGCCAAATAGTAATCGAATGTGTCATTATTTAGTCAAAATTGGATAAACATATTTTATAAATTTTCCTCGTAATTGATATAAAAAAAAGAAACATAAAATTGCTTGTGAAACCTAAGCGAACCTTCAAACCTTCCGCGAATAAATTTACTGGAAACATACAAAAGAATTTTCGGGAATCCCTACCGTGAAACGTGATATGGATTGAATTATTCGTGTAAACGATAATATATAATTACACTTTTTAAAGTATACCGAGTGATTAAAGTATAATAAAAAAAAGTTATCGAGGAAGAGTGCGACAAAAATGTATCTTTAATAATAACATCGCCATACGAATTTTCACTACTATAAAATTTGACATAAAAACGCTCTCGAACGCTTGTTTAGTAGATTTTTTTGTCTTTTTATCAACATAACGGGTTTAGTTTTATTTTTGATAAGGCGACAGTAGCTGTTCTTGTCATGAGAAAGATTCGTCATTCATTTGTTATTATTTAGTACAGTATGTTTCTAACTTTCTAAGGATTCCGTATATTTTAAAAGGGAACACAAACGAAATTATCACGCAATACAACTTTGAAAGTTTTAATTATTTAAAAACAAATCTAAGTACGATAGCGAAGTCTTTCTAATACCCAAAGCGGTACGAAATTATAAAAAGTGAACGCCTTTTTGCTTATATTTTCTTCATCGTAGTATTTACTGTACTTATTTTAAATTGCGTTAAAGAAAAACCATCTATGACGCTGTCTCTGACCTAATCTCGATTACTCTGGAATGTTGGATGGCACAGTGTCACACATAAACAACAATCATCATAAAGTAATGTTGACCATGTCTACAATGTAAAAGATGACGTTTTATTTGATGAATTTTCTTTTTATTTATTTTCAATTAAAACACAATATTATTTTCGGATTTTTCTGTTCTCTAACAGTACTGTACTGTCAATGACAAACGGGCTCGAATTACTGTCGGGTCTAGCAAGTTTGTGAAGTAAATCGATAATATAGATCAACAGCGCTCTATTATAGCGCTGGTCAATACCATGTTTTTTGTCTTAAAAAAATAAAATCAAATTTAATGGGTCTGAATTTTCAAACATTTCATAGATTAAAAAATATATTATATCATGTACATGTTTCTTAAATAAAAATACTATTTCTTTTTATTTTTTTGTCTACATTTTTCTCACAAGTGTTTACGTGTAACCTTTATCAATATATATTAAGTATACAATAAGACTACGTACTCTCAATAAAACTGTATACAAACAATGTAGGTACTTATTGTATTGTTTCGTTCGTGAACAATCATAATTAACTGATAACGCATCTTTCTGCGACGAATCTTAAAATTATCTGTTGAACCGATGCAATCAAGAAAAATTTTACTTTACTAACTTTATTATTAATATAATTTTTATTGAACGATGTACAAAATGTAATGTTTTAGTGCAATGAAATTGCTTGATGTTTTATTTGTTTTGTAAGCATAACAAATACTCACGCAGAATTTACATTCCAGGGTGACTGACATTTTTATAATTATTCTTGGGCAATCTCTAGATATCCTCTTATTTTTCCGCTTATTAATGAGTAATAACACATTATCTTAATCATGTCAATTGAATCTAAGCTGGCGCCTTCGTCGCTAAATATATGTACATTGAATGTTTATAGTCGCACTACGTTCTGATAAGCTTCTTGTTTTTATATGATCATATTTATACCAGTTTCTCCTTTTACCATTATTAAAAGGGGTGATACAAAACATATTCTGTATGTAATCGATATACCAACATATTGTTTTAGATAGACGTCCTGGATTCGGAGCTAAGAAAGATTTACGGTTTGCCTGGATAAATAAATTTGAAATTGTTTGCCGAAATAATCGTATCGGGTGCTCCATAGAGGGTAGCCCACATAGGGAAAAAGGGATTTCACAAGACTATACTGTGTCTATCGATTTTTATACTTTTATCCTTGAATGTGTTCTAGTTTCGCAGAATAAATAAATCATTTTTCCTAATCGTAATTATTCTCAATTAATTTTAAAAGGTAACTATTGAAAATAATAACGTATTTAAAACGTGTGAGTCGTGTATGTGTCTTTATACAAGTAAATTGTATGTGCCTTCTCGACTTGGTACATTATCGCTTCAAATATAAAAATCTATGTCGTTTTTTTTCTGGGACTCGTACCTAAATCCTCTCGGGCTTATCACAATGCCAGGCTACATTTGACCCACGTAGGATATCGTAATAATAAACTGTCTTTATTAACGATGTAACAACAAGACACGTCGATGCTCTATCTATGTTTCAGTAAATATACCCATCTTGAGAACACCCGTAGTATCTTCTTCGATATATCCAGTTAGATCGAGTGAAAATAAATAATAGTTTATCGAGAATAGACCGGTCAACTGTTTATGTTGTTAGGATGCCGTGTAAGGACGGGCGGCCGGTCGAGCCGAGGTACGGCGCCAACCACCATTCTCGTTTGCGATGGCTATCAGAAACGCAATCCTCTATTCCTCGCAGTGCTAATCAATGAATAATTACTCTGTTTAAGGGGCACCTCTATAAATAGCCGGGCTGGAGCGCTGACCTGGAGCGACGGGTTAGTCCGGCCGACAGCGCCACCTCGACTTGTTTCCCCGCACGTCGGGCCCTGCGGCTCTAACAGCCCGCTTTTTTACGACAGAAGAGGACGAGAATTTGCCTTGCGTTATAGAAGATTAATTGCTCCAGCCTTGTAATCTAATGAACATATTCTGTCGACTTTTGTATGCCTCAAGCACTGGAAAATCCACTGGCATTGTATGAAAATGTTCACGTGACTTAGAAACTCAGTGGAAGAACGAGGGGGAAACAAATCCATGGCCCAGGCTTGCAAGTCGTAGATACGCCTGAATCACGCCACATCCCCTATCGTTAGACCGTAATCCCCCATTCCGCTGGACTTGACTCGTCGCAAGACCTGACCTCGTCCATCTACTTTTCATGTCGTTTTTTACTCAATTATCTAAAGATATCTTGATATAAAAATAGATAGCATACTTTTCAAGTTTTATGGTCTAAAAGTCTAGACTATAAATAGCTTACTCTGAATCTAGGTTTTATGTGTCGCGAAGCCAGGCGGCGGTGCTGCTTAATTCTTGGAAGAGATAAAATTAAGATGTAACTAAACTTTCACAATATAACCTAGTTTCTTTTAACTTCCCTATATTTTTAATACATTATACCTATTTTCATTATTATTATACAATGTTCTGGGGAATTGAAATAAAATAAAATATATCACCGCTAAGTTACTGTAAACACAGCTTCAATATCTGTGTTTACGGAAAGTTACATTTAGCTTTTCTTTGTTTTACTTCCTATTTTTCATTATATCGTTTTTATATGATATTGCCATTCTAATCACAATTATAAAAAGTAAAAGTATCGAACTACGACCAGCAGCATTGTCTCACTATTCTACAGAGCAACTAGTGAGTTACAGACTATAAAAGAACATTAGTCGAGAAATGAAGAGATGCCAATTTTGATCTGTCAGATCATTTGTACAACAATAACGTGCTTGTAAGTGCTAAGATATATATGTGCTAAGTTTTTATAAAATAAAATTTACTTTTTGAACCGAGCTTTATTGAAATAAAATTCGCGTCGTATCTCGCCATTATGCAGACATCTACAGCCTATTTAATGGTATCGTCTGTAATTATGTAGACAAAGGGTAATTAAAGGCGCCAAAATGGCCTTGAGTCCTGGCTGGATAGAACCTGTAGTAGAAAAAAGGATGAAGACGATACGGCGGCGATTAAACTTGTTGTAACGAATTACGGCATTGCAAGGACGAGGTAAAGTTGAATATTGCATCAGAGTACTTGCGAATATAGCGAGGCAACGATCGCGAGGAATGTTGGCGTGTAGTTGAAGTCAGAGGGCGATTCTCATATCACAACCCTTCTAAGTGCGTGCGTGCTCGAAAAGAATTATATTTCATAGATAGCCGAAAAATTGCCACAGATTATGCAAAATACACTGACTGCGATATACAAAGAAGCGAGTAAAATGTCACATTTGTTGTAATAGACTTTAATATTTATTATATTCTGTTCTTTCAGTATTATTAGGTATAGCAGCAATAAATACATAATATGTAATTTTCAACTGTCATGGTTGACAGCGCTATAAAATAGCGCAGTCCTAATAAGTCATATAGTAAATTCCACACACATTTCTGTGTCCGTTTCACAAATCGATTTCATTAATCGACAGGTAGTTAATCAGACTTCTGTGCGCTGCCTGGCCAAAACAATTTACTATTTTCCTGGGATTCAAACCCAGATTCCTTTAGCAGTTAACACAATACATGACAGCATGTATAACCAAATAGCCACAGAGGCGGTAGAAAGAAACAATATTCGTTTATTTTGAAGTTAGTTCCAAACACACCTGTTATAATGTGCGACTTATGCTGGCGTAATCTTTTATCGCTCACTTGAGAATTGCCCTCCAGGTCCGGAGCATACCTGTGAGAGAGCTCGGGCCCGTGACTCACCAAAACCTCCGACAACTGACCACTCACCACACGATTGGGAAAACACGTCTCTAATATTATTGAACTTATCGCTTCTCGAAATTACACCGCAACTTAATAATGACGTTGTTTGATCCCGGGCTTATAAAAAGTACCCTATGACGTACATAATATAAGAATGACTATACAATAACCGATAGTTGCATGGTCGCGATGATTGTAAGTTATAAAAATTCATCCGTATCGGACGACACCATTATGATCCCCGGGAATTGTACCCAAGATCGGATGCTCAACTATTGTGCTATGAAGCCGTCAATAAAATGCCTATCATAATATAACGTTTAATTAAAGACAGTTGCAGCTTTACAACTTAAACCCGAAGTGTAAAATATAATTTTATCATTTTTTGACACGTAGAGAGCTTATAAAAATAACATAATATGTTGACTTAAGAGATACTATGACACGGGCAGGACGGGAACACACAAATTCGGCGTACCGTAAAGAAACACTTCTACTAATTGAGTTACTCTATCTATTTAGAATCTTGAAATAAAACGTAAATTTAACATGCATAGTCCATTCGGCTCAGTTACCAGAGTTTAACAAAACATTTTATGCGGCTCTAAACTAACGCAAAGCTGAAATAACTTGACATAGAGTACAAGTCTTGAAATCGTACACCCGTCGACTATTCTTTACATATAAAACCTATATTTAACTTTGCGACACAATATAACTGAGTATTAACATTACTTATAATCAACGAAGGCTATGATAATTCATTTAACATTTTGTCAAATCACCGTATTTGATACAATTGTACTTTAAATAAAAAAAGTTGAATGATTTAAAACGCGATATATATTAGTCAAACTTATTCGAAATATATTTTAACTACGGCCCGGCGTTTCTGATGCTTTTCAGCAGCCGTCCACGTAACGTAAGTTTAACCAATATAAATCGCGTTTTAAACTGTTAAAGTGTTTTATTTAAATGTGTACTACTCGCGTAAACTACAGACTACAGATATAGTATAGTAGTATTGCATACAATTCATTTAATTCTAAATAAATTAAACAAACATAATGTAACTCGCACCGCTATACGTATAGTTTTATAGGAATGTTAGCACAAATCTGTGAAACTTTGTGTTCTGTACATGTTCTAGTCTAAATCGTATTAGACAGGTGGAAAAGAATTGGGTAATATTAGATGCTTCCTAAATTTTATCGATTAGCCGGCGCAGCAGATGGCCGGCTGGGCCCCAGGCCGCCGTCTGCGACCCTCCCGCGCTGCACCGCTATCCTCGCCTCACCCCCGATTGAGATCTATCCTCCCAAAACGTCCCCTGCACCGAACTGGATTATGCGATTTATATTAAGTTTCCGCAATTTCCATTTAGAGGGACTTAAAAGCTACACGCTTATGAACATTTGCGCGGCGAATTCGGTAGATGCTTTGTAAATATTTTTGCTAAGGGTACGTCAACGATCGACATTCATTAATGATGACAGTCTGATTAACGACTAATACGCTGAGGCGAACCCCCATCTGTTGCTATTGGTGACGCTTGAATAGAAGAAATGGGAATAATATTAATTTGTCAGAACATACTTATCAATGCGACAGAAGGTAGAACATTTTGGCCTCCTATTATAAGTAATAGCGATGATACTACGACTCTACAATCAGAGTAAGTATCGGATGAGCATGGGTCACAGTTATAATATTTATTAAAAATATATTTTTGGACATTCGGAAATACATAGACCAAAATCAAAACGCAGATCTGAAGCAGCCGCGAAGATGGCTTTTGCATCTGTGGATGATGCTTGAATTTTGATTTAGGAAAACTATAAGATGATTTAGAAATATGTTAGGACTCGAACACTCGTTGATTATTATTAGCAATACATTTCCACCATCTGCCTTAATAGACCATAGCACGTAGAAGTCTAGCGAAGAATGTTTGAATTTAAAATATCTCTTACGTACACAATGAATCATATCAGGACGAAAACTTCCAGTTAGTATGTAGATTATGCAATAAAAAGTTTAAAAATACCGGCCCGAGATTTCAAAAGGTTCCGAAAAAATGAACAAACCTATGCTATTTCACGTAATCTGTGTCTAGACGGAGGCTGCCAATTGCCTGGAATTTTCTTATTGAACATTTTATCTGATTCACGTTATCACACTTGGCCATAGCAGCGCTTTCGTGGACAGGGTACTGTTAAAGAAATAAAAAAATACTTCCTTAGAATTGGTATATAAAGTATTCATGTAATTTTGTTGTTGTTAAATGTTTGTGTATGAACGTACTTAATTGACACAATGTTAATCTCGCTTGTGTTAGCGCGGGCTCTGATGGGCCCGCAGAATATCAGTGTTGCGACATTAGTCCCAACAAAGCTGAGTGGACTTAATTTTAGAGGCAACTGTTATTTTAATGTGTTATTTTATCTGTTTCTGAATAAACTTATTATATTCTATTTTTTTTTTTCTATTTCTATTCTATTCCTATTCTATTTCTGTTCTATTTCAATTCTATTTCTACATAGGCATTGCTCTTTTAATTTAAAACTGAAATTTGTTTAGTCAATTTTCCATAAAAACTTACAGTAATAAATATCTAACGTAAACACGTTACAGTTAGGTTGTTACAAGTATATATTGCTTGTTGCAGGTTTATGTTCTATAAAATTGACTCTACATAGATACCATTAATTGAATAGGTTTAATCATGTTTCAGACTTTTAATAGTAAAAATAAATGGCTACTAATCAAAACATTAATATTTATAGGCGTCGTAAATCCGGCGAAGGCTTCTTTTAGACGGACTCGATAGACGATGGCAGCAAAATATGGTTTATAAGTAAGCAAAGTATAGTTCGTGGGTTGGAATAATATCGAGTCTAACCTGTTTCTAAAAATCAAATTATCTAAAACATATTAGTCTTCGTCTGGAAATATAGACTTGAAAACGGTGGTAAACAGCTAAAAAAAGGCTCCATATAGGTACAGTATAAAACCACTTTCCACAGCCTTTGAATTTTTAAATGTTTAAAGTCGAAATAGGTCAGCACATCTTATTTAGATATTGTATGGTCCATCTACCATCACATGAACGCCATCCTTCCTGTTCTCCTGTGAATTAAAAAATATTAATATAAGAGTTCCAAATTTTTGTAACTATGCACTAATTATGATATTTCCCCGAATTCAAAAGACCCCATATTGTATTTAATTATACTTCTAAGATGTCGGCGGTAGAGTTTCAAGTTTCATCTTGTCAAAGGACTCTTTCAGTTTGTTTCTCATTAATCCTAATTATCGCTAAATGTTTTCGTTTCACGGCTATCCTTTGATCGGTCGCAAAATCCAAAACTAGCCTTAATTATTTGTTTTCCCATAAATAAGTGCTTTGATTAAATAGTGATATATTATTCTCACCTAAAAATGGTAGACACTGAGTTTTTAATGATTGTTATTTGTTGTTGCCTCTTAGATTATAAATAATTATTTTTTTCTAGAAACTAATTGACGCACTGTGTAAGAAACAATAAACGTGTAATTTTAAACAATAATTTTAGGAACTGATGTATCACCAGTCGCACATGGCAATGGTTAAAACTTCCATTTCATATCATACATTTTGTAATTTCCGCGAACGTTCATTTCGCAGAATTAATAAGTTACTGACATCATTAGCCAGCAAGAAGCGCGCTTAATAATTTTCACTTACTTTATCAAGTTGTTCACGCTGAAGTTGTTAAGTGTACAGTCAGATGCAAAATATATATATATATATCAGTTTTCTTATATTTTTGAAGTAAAGAAAGGGTAGCAAGTAAGATAGATGGTGGTCTTAAGAATATATCAAAATAAAATCTATACTAATATATAAAGTTGAAGAGTTTGTTTATTTGAACGTGCTAATTTCCGGAACTACTGGTAAACTACTGGTTCACTACTAGAAGAAAATTCGTTTTTGTGTTGATTAGAGAATTTATTGAGAAGGTCATTAAACATCGCGCAATATGACCGAAGAGACAGCAGAAATGGAAAGAGGGAAAATTAAGTTGGGGACAACCACTTAATCTATAAAGATGAAGATGAGGTTTCCAAAAAACAAATGAATATCTAAAAATACCTAACTATTTTATGCGGATGGAGTCGCTGATACAGCAAGTAATATTAATAATATAATAAATATCAAATTATTTATTATATCACAGGCGGGATACGTTATTTCGGTGTATATTTATTCATATAAAACATATAATAATAATAAAGTTTAACTTGTAAGCAAATGTGCGTGCTGAGTGTCAAAGTATTTTCTTAATTGAATACCTTTTGTTAATGTATTGTTATTTTAATGTCAAAAAGTCAAGTATTAACTGTGTACTTGACTTTTCAACTTTCTAATCCTCGAGAAGGCCGTGTGTTTATATTTTCAGTATAAAATATCTTATATTATAGTTATTTATACTAAAAGTTGGTGTTTTCACACACCCTAATATCCACAGTATGTTACAATGCTTTTGTAAATAAGCTAAAAATATAATGCCTTGACTGTATCACTTTAATAAACTACAAAATAAACCCAAAAGTCCTTCTCGCTCCGGCTCGACGAAATGAGCTTCAAAGGCTTTAGTGTTGAAAGATCAGCTTGATTTATAAAGTTTACTTAATAAAGGTCGTCTTTGCAATTCTCCCGCGATAGAGATGGATCGACAATGAAAAGCAGAGGCCAAGTAAGGCAGGATCGAAACTCACCCGTTGCAGGTCGCCTATAATCTGTTCATCATTCAATACTCGAAGCAGGTGATTTATCGCCACGTATAGCTCTGCCCATTACCGTGTCACAATCAATAACAGCCGCACCGCTCGTACACTGATGAATTTCACCTATTTCTTCCTCGAAGCCATTAGTGTTCACCGCGAGTTAGAACGCCATTAAAGGATTAGACATGAAAATATTATCCCTCTCGCGTTTAACGCCCTCTCGTGGTGTGCAACAAAAGAAAACTATTTAACTTGCGTCATATGAAAATGCGAATTTATTACGCTTTAAAAACGCAACATATTCTGTCAGTGCTGTCTCCTTCGCGACGATTATGCTGTGAGTCGTGGGAGACTCATTCTCTACTGTCAAACATTTTAACTAAGAACATTGCAAGTAAGACTGGAAAGTAAGACTCACGTTCGCTTTTTGTTAACAATAGTCTTCTTTTTCTGCAACATTGCTATATTCGAGGAAAAGGGTAAGATCTAATAGTATTCAAATAGTAAAACTTTATAAATATTTTGGATAGATTGAGGATTTTACACCTATACTATTTGTCGATACTTAGGAGAATTCTTTATTTGCCCTAAGCGGGTATTTACTCAGTTAGAAGTTCTCAGGAGGCTTGTGGTTGTACGAAATACCAACATATGTATGTGGTAGGCAGAGGCGGGTCAAGTGAACGGACGTCTGTCTCAGCCGCCGGAACGTCTGTTTGTCTTAACGCAATACCTGTCAATAGCCGTCCTAAGTTCATTGGCATGCCCACTTTGGCGCATTGCATAGAATTTATGCACAGCCTGCACCATTCTGTCCCATACTCACCAAACTGGTATCCAGTAACATGATCTTCAACTTGCCATTAGCTTGTTGACACATTAAATACTCAATCATTGCACCTAAGCAGGAGAGGCTTAAGGTCTATGTTTAATTTAAACTTGAAGACTCTCTCAAATCATTTACCCGAAGAATGGAACATCGAGACGATTAGTTCTGATGAACGAAATCGGCTTTCGTACAAAAGTGTAATGTCTAAATGTGTGCGTTATGCTTCACAGCAGGCGAAACGTTGGGCCGTAGTTAAAATATTTCGCGTTTGAAACCGTTTAAGTGTTTTATGTTAATGTGTACTACTTGCGTAAACTACAGACAGTAATTAACATTCTGATTGATCGATGAGGCAAGACAATATTTGAGTTATTATAATTTACTTTTTCGATATATCATATAGCTAGCTGAGTTTTGTGTGCCTGACCAAAATAATGTTGTGAAAAACCGTTAATCCTCCTTTTGGTTCTATTCTATGTTCACTCCCGAAAAATGTCGATAGCATAGATAGTATAAGGCTGGAGTATTTTAACTTCTGTCCAGTGAATAACTAACTTTTCTTTCCACCTCTATATTAAAATTACTAACAGGTGCTTCTTCGTAAACTCTAGTTATAATTAAAAATTATGTAATAAAAGTTTTTTTCTATCTAATTCTACAAAAAAGACTAATAACATCGATCGATGTTAATGTAAAAATGTTTATGACTATACCGACATATAACTTATCCGGCCTAATTAAAAAATAATTGAGGCTCTCATATACTTATAACATTAAAAGTGAATTGGTGTGGCGTCTCTTAATCGGCATTGTATACTAAGTACTATACTAAGTAACTTATTTTTAT